TTCTTCCTTTGAAATATACCACAAGTGAAAACATACATTTAGCCTCCAGTGCTTAAAGCAACATAGCTCTCTTTGAAAGAGTCTTGCTTTAATTTTCCAGATTGGTTATCCTATTTAAGTCTCTTGGGCCCTTGGCTGATCGATCACACAGGGATTTGTCAAATTGCCTACTTCTTTGAATTAAGTGTGGACATAGCAACTAAAAATAAACATGATGTGGATATTAGAGAACCAGGGACCTTCTTTGCCTGGGGACTAGGATACTTGCTTGCTGTTGCTAAGATGTTTTCTGGCTTTAGCACAGCATCAATCATTGGAAGTGCAGCTGTGTTTTTGGAATAGCGAGCTGATAGAAGCGCAAAGGCACACTGAGTATTATCCTGAACAGTAGATACAGATGCAAATCATTATGCGTAATTCACAATATTATCCCCATTTTTAGAGTTGTTTGTGTTGTGTAATTTGCTGTGCTGAGAACTAGAAATGTGCCAAAGCATTATTTCTGTTTTCAGAATAGTTTTGTCAGATTTGAAAGATAAGTAAATATATCAGTTACATTTCAGGTCTTTGTAGCATTGTGAGTGTGGCTAATGGTTTTGACAGTAGGATCTGGCTGAACATTGGGCTAATTGCTTTAACTTGATACCATTTTCCTTATTCCATTATGAAAAGACAACTGGAGATTGAATGTGAAAGTTCATTGAGGAATAACATAGGATAAGTAACTGTTCTGTAGGGCAGCAGCACTGGGCACTAGTAAAGAGCCAGCTCTGCCACAGATGAGCTGTGTGGTCATGGGGATGTTAGTTAGCACTTCAAATGATTGATGTCTATTTCCACATCTATAAGTGAAGGCTAATGAATGATAGTCTTACCTTATTGAGTTGTTGTGAGGATTAAATGAGCTAATATTTGCACATCTTAATACAGTGTCTGGTATATAATAAGTGCTATATAATTTTTGCCTGCTACCATTTGTCACTTATTTATATAATATCACATCCTTTTTCCTTGGTGCCGAAATAAAGGCTGAAGTGGGAGATGAGTCCAAACCCTGAATTAGGTCTAGGAAGACTTGAGGGCATTTAAAAATGTTAAGCCAAAATACTTTGGTAAAACTGGTAGCATTTTTCTATCTTGACACTATTATAGGAGTCCTTATTGTGTTGAAATAAAAATTTAATCTATATTTAGTGCTCTGGAAATTTTCCTCAAAAGTGATTCATCTTTTGGAGAGTGAGTTCCCTTTCCTCAGTTCTAAAATAAAGTCTCACTTGAGCTTCTCTGATTCTGGTCCTAAAGAATTGCCGCTGCCTCGATTTATGATGTCAAAGACGGACAGTGACATACGATTTGGGAACTCGGCTGAGCTGCATGGAACTAAGACTCAAATTCCATATTTAATCTCGGAAAAAAATACCTTCAAAAGAATGGATGATGAGGATAAACAGGTAAACAATCTGTTCGGGCATGTCCATTTGACTGACCATGAAACCTCACGTAGCAGTGCCTCTTATCTGCTGTCAAGCTTCCAGCAAATCTCACCATCTGGGTTACAATTACAGACTTGGAAGTGAGCCAATGAAATTTCCTTGTATCAAGAAATAGAGGCCAATGCATAGGAATTATCATGAGCCACCCATGGGGCCTTTAGAGCCTACATTAATGTAGAATTGTGTCCAAAGTAAGGCCACCGATTTAGCGCACTCATTTGATTAATCTACTTCCAAATGAGTTTTTTGAAATGTAACTTTTAGGAGTTTTCCAAGAAAGTCTGGAGGAAAGGTTTCTCTGGCTAGATATGTTTGGAGAATGCTGCTTCGTATCCTATTTTGGGAGGAAGACTAAATCCTTAGTCTTGGAGATTCATAGTGCACATTAGCACATTAAATGCCCTGAGAAGTCCTGCAATAAAGGCACCCGGAGATCTGTATTTATTAAACTTCTTTCACCAGGGCATCTTTTTTTGGGAGCATGCTTGGAATGCATCTTGGGAACTACTGTCATTGCACATTAGCAAGTTAGGAATAAGAATAGGGAGGATGGGCTTTTAAAATTAGACCACTAATTATAATAGTCAGATGATGATTGGTAGGGGCAAAAGTATAAAATGCCGGAAGAGTGAGCCCATCAAGAAGAAGTAAATGGTCTTAACACATTAGTAAACCCTGAAGTCATCAAGGTACTGCTCATACTTTTACTAAAGATATTGAATCATGCAGACAAGTAAATTATATTCAATATAATATCTTCTATAAGGCAAAGAAATTTGTTATGTTTTTAGGAAGATGAAACATATATATATATATATATATACATACACACATATATTTTTTTTGTTAAACCTCACCTGAGGATATTCTCCCATTGAGTTTTTTAAGAGAGATTGGGAGGGAGGGGGAGAGACACACAGAGAGAAACATCAATGTGAGAGAGACACATCGATTGGTTGCCTCCCACATGAACCCTAATCAGGGCCAGGAATTAAGCCTGCAATTAAGGTACATGCCCTTGATGAATCAAACCTGGGACCCTTCAGTCTGCTGGATGATGCTCTATCCACTGAGCAACTGGTCAGGGCAAAAATTATTTTAAAATGCGGTGAAATTAAAGTTGGAGAACTAATTTATATGGCTCACCTTAATAATGCTGGATATCTGAAGTCTTACTGCAGAAGTTTTATACTTATCTATATATATAAAAGCCTAAGTGTCCGTCTGACCATCTGACTGGTAGCTATGATGTGCACTGACCACTAGGGGGCAGAAGCACAATGCAGGAGCTTCCATGGCGTGCACTGGCCATTTAAAAATAAATGGCACCACAGACTTGGCGCCAACAAACCAACACTTGGCTTCCCCCGAGTGGGACACAGGCCTCGCTACCACCCTGGGGCGACAGCCCACCAAATCGCAGCCAGTGCTGCCAAGACCCCATGGTGCAAAATGTGGCCCACAGCTCAGCCCAGCCCAGAAATGGTGGCCGTGGGTGCCGGGTAATGACATCACGTAGCAATGCCCGGCTTCCTCTCCCTAGCAATGACTAGCCTCCTTACAGTTTCTTCAGTCCAGGAACACGACTTGCTTTATAACTAGGTGCAAACATTTTACACTTTAACCAATGTTTGTGAAGCGTTTTCAAGTGTCTCATCTCATTTGATCCTCACAGAAGTCCTGGAGTAGGTAGATAGGAGACTTGATGGAATCCTATTTTCTTTTCATTAGCTGGAAAACGGAGATTTAGAAAGTTTAGAAACTTGACCCGACTAAAAAGAAGAAATGGTGGACCTTGAAAATGACTTCAGGTTTTCTCACTGTGAAGCATATAGTCAAACACTGCTGTAGTTAAATATCTTACCCTTTGTTCTCCCTGAGTGATTTTTAATAATTTGCTTTGTGTTGATATTTACTGCTGTGTTGCTGACAATTACCTGAAAGAGAAGTTGGGGTGCTTCACTGGGCTGGAAAAAGTTTAGCTAAATCAGAAAGCAGGCCTAATTAAGCAAGATATATATATATGGCTAAGTTGACTCACACATGCGCGATGCATGTAAAGCTCTCGCTGGCACCAGTTGCATGCTCATGTTTCAACCTATCACTATTGATTGTGAATTTGGTTGACACTTCTATTATAGAGAAAGGGCGAATAGCGATATTAAAATATTTCTTCTAATTAATATCCTTTCAATGTGCATGAATCTGTGCACCAGAACACCAGTAGTTTTATATTTAAGTGAGGTGTAGCATGTTCTTCAAGGATATATATATATAAAAAGGAGCATAGGGATCTTCAGTTACCACTCTTTGGCATGCTTTCCTATCAGCATTTGGAGAGGAATGATGGTTCACTACTCCAGGATGGTTGGTGCCCTGGGAAATTTCTGGACCCATCCCCTGGCTGCGTGAGTAAGGACACATCCTTTTGGCTGGGTTTATGCTAGGCCAGTGATGGCGAACCTATGACACGCATAGGCACGCGAACTCATTTTTTTGGTTGATTTTTCTTTGTTAAATGGCATTTAAATATATAAAATAAATATCAAAAATATAGCTCAGAAGGCTCGCCATCACTGTGCTAGGCCCATCCAATCTGCTCACAGTTCAAAGCAAATATTCTTTTATTTTTCTTGAAGAAAAGTATTAATCAGTATTTCAGATTGAATTTTTTAGACTAATAGCAACTATATAGTGCCTGTGTTGATAAAAATCACTGTTTCTTTGATACTTGGGCACTCTGAAATTACCACTCTGTTAGCATTAAAAAAATACCGAGGAGGAAACCCAGTATCAGAGTAAGGTTGATTTTCTTGTCTAGGGTCCAACATCAGGTTCACATTTGAATTGAGATTCTAATTGTAACATGTTTAAGGCTCCATCCTAGTGTTTACGAGTGGGCTAGTCAGAGTGGTTCACCCATAATTAACTATTTTGTAATCTCTCGATGTAAAATAAAAAAAAACCTGCCATTTTACTTGGCATAGTAAACTCTAAGAATATTTAGCATTACGCATTTAAAATATTTTAATAGCCACATTTGCTGGAAGACTTGATGAGTGTAAATCCAGAAAGAAAGGGCCTTTATTAATGAATGAAAATTGAATCTATCCACAAAGAGGTCAAAATTGGGGAGTATGAATGTTATTTCTTGTGATGATCAGTGTCTTTTATTTTCCAAAGGAAAATATTATTGGAATAACTGAAAGTGTTCCAGGCTTGTTTTAATAATTTAGGTACCTGAGTACTGGTGAGACTTTATTCTCTGGGAGACTTTTGAATCCTCAGACACTGATTTTTAACCCAGCCGAATTTTTGAGAAAACATTTCCTCCATTTGTTAAATCAACTGGCTCACCAGCAGTAGAGCTGTGTTATGCTTCATAACTGCAGCTCAGAGTGCCAGGCTTCTCCAGTGATTGCTTCTGAACTCTGCTCTGATTCTTTGAAGCAGGAAACACAGTCTCCTACGATGTCACCCCTCGCCTCCCCTCCTTCTTCTCCGCCTCATTACCAGAGGGTGCCCTTGAGCCATGGCTACAGCAAACTGCGGAGCAGCACGGAGCAGATGCATCCAGGTAAGAGGCAATCTGCAGGCCAGCTGTCCCAGGCAAGGTCTTGGAGACTCCTTAATCTATCAGGCAGCAATGCTGCCAGCTGCTGAATCTCCGGACTTAATTACCTCTGTCTTTGGAAACATGGCTCAATTTAATTTTATCCTCTCAAGCAAGGTTTAAAAAAATAAAATGAAATATATCTTAGTAATGCCTTGTCTCCCATCCTACAAACTTTAGACTTGTAAACAACGATTTAGATGATTTAATCTCTCATATACAGATTTCATCATACAGGAAAGTGGCATATTAAGGGGTTGTGTTGTTTTGGAAATGTTATTCTTTCCTGCAAACATACCAAACATATTTATATAAGAACTGCTTTTATGGAATGACTTAAGAATATAACACTGCAAATGCAAAAGAGTTGATTCAACTGTTAAAGACTGATCACATAAATGGAATTATTTAGCTCTTGTGTTTGGGAGTAAGAATAAAGGAAATGATAGGGAAAGCATTTTGCTGAGAAGTACGTAGAGTGTCCATTGTGGGGTTGCCTGCTTGCTCACATTCAGGCTGTGCTGGCCATGCTATTGGTAAAATCTGTTAGTTGGTTCTAAGAATGACTTGCAGAGTTGGCTGCCTAGGAGCAGTGCTAAACTCCATAAATTCACTGCAGCAGCTTGTCCTCCTGGGGCTCAGACTCCTAGTTTAAGATATGACCAATTAAAGGTATTCTAGAATTGGATACCCATAATCCCCCTTTTTATTTTGTGGACTATGGCTGAAAATGACCCAGTTTCTGCAGGCTTTTGCTGCATTGAAAATAGTGGTGACTTCTAGAGGGATACAGATATAAAATGTGTGCTATCCTGGACTAGAGAGAGGCTGTAATCTTGCAGAAAGAAGCAGGTATAGCATAATGGAAAAATTTTTTGATTGGAATCAGAAGGTGTGGGTTTATGTGACTAGCTATGTGACCTTGGGCAAGCCATTTAACTGCTCTGAAGCATGGTTTCTTTTCTTTTAAAGTGGAGTATCTTGTAGGGGTATTGTAAGGTTTAGTGAGAACGTGAGTATAAAATCTGATTAGAAATTAAGTCCTTTGCAAATGCAAGATGATATTGTAACAGGAAATCACTCTCCTGGAACTCGAATTTCCTACTGATGTCTGCAACAAAATGGGGTTGAGAATTCATTTTCTTCTTACAGTCCAGTTCCCCTCCTGCCTGATTTCCCTGTTTTTAGAAGTGGGTTTTTAAAAATTCCTAATCTTATTTGGGCTTGGAAGTTGGAGTCCTGTGCCTAGCATGGTGCCTGATTTTTGATTTTCATTTCGCAGGTGAGTCATTTTTGTTCAGTGTATCACCACGTTCCACCCTATCTTTTTTGATATTCCCCAAAAACCTTGTCTGTACTCGCTTTATTTCATGGCCCGTTCTCTCCCCTTCCCATTCAAATTGGGCTTTTGTTCCTCCAGTGGCAAGGAGATAACCTCCTTCTCTCCATCTTTCTTGACTCTTAGCAGCCTCTGTCAAGGTTGTTCATGCCTTTATGCTTTTTAAAAATGTTTTTATTTTTATTTTTTATTATTAGTTAAGGTATTACAAATGTGTCCTCATCCCCCCCATTAACCCCCAACCTCCGCCCCGCACACTCCTGCTCCCATCCCCCTGTTGTCTATGTCCATTGGTTTGGCTTGTATGCACGTATACAAATCCTTCGGTTGATCTCTTCCCCATACCCCGCCCTCCCCTACTTTCCTTCTGGGGATTGATAGCCTGATCGCTGTTTCTGTCTTTGGGTCTGTCCCTTTTCATCAGTCTATGTTGTTCTCTATAATCCGCAAATGGGTGAGATCATGTGGTATTTATCTTTCTCTGACTGGCTTATAAAAATATGTTTTTAAAAAGAGTGAGGTAAAAATTACATATGATAAAATTCACACATTTAAAATACTCAGTTTGAGTTTTAACAAATGGTTATACCCATGTAACCACCATCTGGATCAAGAATAGAACATTTCCATCACCTCAGAGATGCCCCTTTCCAGTCACTCTCTGTTCCCTAGTGCAAGCACTGTTCTGATTTTTATCACCATAGATTAGTTTTGTCTTTTCTAGAACTTCATATAAATATGATCATATTTAATGACTATACTCTTGTTTGTCTGCAGTCTTTCCCTCAGCATAGTGGTTGAGATTCATCCATATTGTTTATATCAGTAGCTTGTTCCTATTTATTACTCAGTAGTGTTCCATCACATGAACGGATCACAGGTTGATGAGCCATTGTCCTGTTGATGGACATTTGGGTTGTTTCCAGTGTTTGGTTGTTATGAATATGAGTGTGACATATGTTGTAATTTCCCTGGCACCTAGGAGTAGAATTGCTAGACTTAGGGTAGATCTATGATAAAGTACCAAAGAATTTTCCGAAGTGGTTGTATACATCCCACTGGCAGTGTATGAGAGAGCTCCTTGAAAGCAATTGGTATTCTCAGCGGTTTCTTTTTCTTCAGTGTTTTTAATTTTAGTCATTCTGTTAGATGTGAAGTAAATATTTTTTGTGGTCATTCCCTTTATTCTTGAAACATTTTTTCTAAGTTTCTGTTATCCCTACCTGGTTTTTCTCCTACATTATGATCCTTAGACTGATGAGCTGCTCTTCTAGAGGGTTCTTCTTTGTGCAGCTGACCCATAAAGAGGAATCTGAGTGAACAGTCTCCTGTTTCTCAAGGAGTTGAGTTTCCTGGGTCTAGGCACCAATTAGGAGGCTGTTAGGGTTCTGTAGCTAGGAACAAGGTCATTCATAAATAAAATGTTTACAGGTATTTCTAAATAGACTTCCTCATCTACGTAAGTCAAAGGAAGGGAGAATTTTTCTATCTGCAGCTTGGGTCCATCTTGTGATTTTTGCTTCTAATTGATACTATTCACATCAAAGCTTGTTAATTCCTGTTTTTATAGTGTTGGTGGATTTCCCCCCAAAGGATTTTCTTTACTTATTTGCTTCCTTTTTTTGTTACATATCTTTATGTCAAGAAGTAAGAGAAGATCACATGTCTTCCTTCTCTCTCTCCCCACGTTTTCAGAACTCAATTTCTCCAACCCATTTGATGGACTCGGGATTCTCCTTCCTATTTTTGTACTCCATCTTACCTTTGGTCTACCAGCGGTCGCCAACCTTTCAGACCTCGCAGACCACCAGTTGGCAACCGCTGGTCTGGACAGTAGCATATCTAATACCTGTTAAACCTTAGCGACTCTGGTACTAAGTAATCCAGAGTTATTTTTATTTATTTTTTTAAAAAATATATTTTATTGATTTTTTACAGAGAGGAAGGGAGAGATGTGCCCGCAACCCAGGTACATGCCCTTGACCAGAATCGAACCCGGGACCCTTCAGTCCACAGGCCGACGCTCTATCCACTGAGCCAAACCGGTTTTGGCCAGAGTTATTTTTAGTTTCCACCTTTTCAGAAAGGAGTTTTGCTACTGGCATAATTTTCTTGTAATACATTTTCTGGGATAATTTCCCTGTTCAGTATTCTGCCATGATTCCTGGCTGGTGGGACATGTATTGAGTATGCTTTAAATCAGAATGAGCATCATCAGACCAGTCTGGAATTCAGAGCCCCTCTTCAGCTTCTCTCCTGGGCTCCTGTTAGTTTCACTTGCTGGATATAGCTGTAGCTAATGCTCATTGCGTAAGACTTATGTGCCAGGCATCATGCCGAGGTCTTTATGTGCATTCTATTCTTCTTACCACAACCCTCAGAGGCATATAATGCTATCTATATTGTAAAAATGATGTTTAAATCATAGTAATACATGTATATAGTTAAATAATATTTACATGCCTATAGTAAATACAACTATTCTTCCCACTGAACTTGTTTCTGATCTCCAGAGGCAACTACTTTCAACTCTTTCACTTGTTTCTTCTGATATCTAATGTGTTATCTCAAAATCAATATGTCTGTTCTGCTTTTATTTATACCTATTATTCTGATGTATTAATTCTAGGTATTTACTCACTTATGAGCATGAGCTGTGATGTTTGTTTCCTGGCCCTAAAAGTAGACTTGGTGGGCCTACAGTTCTCATTTCTGTCCATTTCCAGCCTATGTGACTATGGGTATTTCACTTTTCTGGGCTTCAGTTTCCTTTATCTGTGAAATAGAATAATCTCTGCCTCAGAGGTTTGCTTTGTGGATCAAATGAGAAATGTAAACATCTGTGCCTACCAGTTTCTGGCACATTGTAGGTGCTCAAATGTTCCCTAGTATTTTCTTTTGTGTTTTTTAGAATCTGGTATTCGTTTTATTTGTGAAATTCTTAAGTATTCTTGAAAGTCACCTCCAGGTCACCATTCATTGGGTTGACTGCAGATGTAGAGTCTTTATTGTGAAGTTACTAATGTCACTTCTAGTTTGACATGTACTGTTCTAGTTTGACATTGAATCTCCGATTGATGAGATCTTTAGGGTTTGTTTTATATTCCTATTCTTGGAGAAAAATGGAACTTCTAGTTCCTCATTAAACCTCTTGTAAGGGGATCTAAGAATTAATATATATATTTTGCATTGAGTTCCATGTCTTGTGTTTTATTTGGGAGGAAGGAGAGTAGAATTCAGATCCAGTTGTGGAATGAGACAGCAGTCAGACCAATTATGGCCTGAATATCAGCTGTGGTGCTGATAGAACTGATCAGAGCATGAGTCTTAGATTTGTGACTGCATGGGTGGGCTTCAGACATCTTTCTAGTCACAGGCAGGTGTGGCTAATCCAGGCTTCCCACAGGAGTAGGAAGAGAAAATCTGCCCTCTAGGCTCTCCAAAAATGATCCTCCATGTGGCTGAGTCTTCATTCGGCTTATTGATGAGCTAGGTCTGTCTCTTCCAAGGGAAAAAGGTCCATGTAGGTAAAGGAGTGGAGTTATGGTCCAGATGTCCTCCCCCAAACGGTTCCCTCCTAGGCAATAGAAGCTCCCTCTTTCTGGGGGGAACCAGAACCATGTAGGATCAACTTCCCAGGGAAAGCTTATGACCATTAGTATCCCAACTATGATACAGTTTACTGTCATCCAAACCTTCTGGCATTAAGAGTTTAATTTGGTGTTTCATCAAAGTGAAATGATCTTAAAAATCTTTCTCAACACCTGTCTACCAGCTGAGATTTATTTTTAAGATCTGGATTATGTGCTTCCTGTTTATGTTTCTTTTGCAATTTTTATATTTTTAATAATTCTTAGTAGAGTCTGAAAATACACTAAATGATTTGCTAGGCAATGATTTTGATATGTTAATGTGTTTTATTCTGTTATAATCTTGTGTTCCAGTTTCTTGGATGAAACACAATAAGCAGATGTGAGCCGAGGAGTTGTTTGTTATTCTTGATGTGCTGTTATTATACCTTCTTTGTTTTAAAAAGATCACACTGTGCTAAAGGTGCTGCACTAATAGGCTGCTCTGCTCTCTCTGCCTAATTTTACTTATAAGGAAACTACAGAAAGAAAGCATTTTACTTCTTTACATACTTCCAAAAGCTCGAACTGTTAACCCACACATATCAGAAATGGTTTCATCTTGGGTGATAATTTCTCTTTTCTATTAGAGCTGCATACTACCTGGTTATGTTTAACTGTTTTTCTGCCCTATTGGCAAGGTCATTAAGTGTTCTGGAAATAAAAGGAGTAAAAAAAGTGTTCATTTTTTGTGGCTTAAAAAACCTTCTTTTAAAGATAACAAAATTAGTTTTAGTTTGGTTATCAAATGATAAAATAATAAATATAAAATACATTTATTCTTAGTAAAAGGAAATAAAAAATAAAATACATTTTTTTTGTATTTTTCTCAACTTGGTTTCACATTCTTTCCAAAAAGGAAAAGAAGATAGTGCTATTTATTTCTCAAAAACAAACAAACAAAATAAATGATAATATTGAGCTTTAGTATTCAAAATGGATATTAAAGAACTGTGGTACATCTACCCAATGGAATACTATGCTGCGGTGAAAAAGAAGGAATTCTTGCCATTTGCAACAGCATGGATGGAACTGGAGAGCATTATGCTAAGTGAAATAAGCCAGTCAGAGAAAGATAAATATCACATGATCTCACTCATTTGTGGAATATAGAGAACAACATAGGCTGATGAACAGGGACAGATCCAGAGATGGAGAAACAGTGATCAAACTGTCAATCCCCAGAGGGAAAGTAGGGGAGGGTGGGGGTAAGGGGAAGAGATCAATTAAAGGACTTGTATGCATACATATAAGCCAAACCAATGGACACAGACAACGGGGGGATGACAGCATGAGTGTGTGTGTGTGGGGGGGAGGTTGGGGGTTAATGGGAGGATAAGGACACATTTGTAATACCTTAACCAATAAGGAAATTAAAGATTAAAACAAAATACAATAACAAAATGCATATACATTTACTTCTTTGTAGGGGTGGAGGGTAGGGAGAGGGGAATGAATGGAAGACTTTTAAATAGGAGGGTATATATAGAATTTACCTATCTCAAGAATTTGAACATTTATAACATGGCACTTTTCTAATGACTCATTGTTTTCTATCCTGATTAAGGTTCTTACCATTTCACCCCTACAATTTATTCCTAATCTTAACCTGATGTAAATATTGTCCTGCCTTATCATACATTGGTTGGATATCCTTAGATTGTTCAGTTAAATTGCACCCAGGGGCACCAAGGTTTGTTGGTCCTAGATTGCCCTATGTACATAAACCCTGATTCCTTTGATAATTCTACCCTTAAAAGCAGACACTGTATCGGTTGGAATGTGAAGTCATAATTCTTGGGTGGAATTTTTGTGTACCATGATGACTTTCGCTCCGGTTTCAGCTCCTTATGAAGCTAGACAGCCTGAGGGACCCTCATCGGGGAACCAAGGAACCAAGCCGCCTCGGCATCAGGCTTCCCTCATCCGGGTAAGAGATGTTGTGGGATTATGCCAATGGGAGACTTTGGGGATATGGTTTTTTGATGGGTCCTCTTTTTTTTTTTTTGCAAGGAAGATATAAAACTGCCCCCCCTCATGCATAGATTGTACTTCTTGTTCTGTTGCTTGTATATTTTCCTAAATCTTTTTTTATTATATATGTTTCTGACTGTATCTACTCCAGGCTGGTTCCTGGTCATTTGATTGTCTAAAATGCCCTTCCACCATCATCTACTTAATCATTAGGTACATTTTTCAGGAGAGCTTTACTTTTCCCAAAACAGCCTGTTGTATCTATGCCTTATTTATTCTTTATTATCATTCATCCAGTGTGTAGTTAGGTGTTGCCCATTTGTTTTGTGCCTCTAATTACATTGCAAGCTTTTGGAAGGCAGAGGTAGTCCTTCTGTATTCTCCCTCAGTGCCTAGTTCAATGCTGTTTGGAGAGCAGTTATCTTATAAGTGGCAGCAACTACTCTTTCTCATATTTAATTGATACAAAAGAAATATTATGGTAGAAACACAGTGATATTTCAGTTTTTCCTGGCTACACCATTGCTTAGAACATTTCAGCTCCCCTTTCTTTCTCCAGTGTTTTCCCTTGGATAAAGAACTCTTTTTTTTCTGTGTCTGCCACTGTTTTCTTGTGTATTATCTCTGAGTCCTGTGCTGGGGAAGTCATATTCTCAACAAAGGGTGTGTGTGTGCATGTGTGTGTGTATGAGAGAAGTTATGAAAAAACTTGGTTCACTGTTTGACCCTAAAGACAAGAGGAAGTAGGGTGATTTGTATAACGTTTCAATTGTCCAAGTTAGGAAGAGGATCATTTATGTGCAGGCAGATCTACTCAAAATAGCAGGGTGGTGTCAGATACTCCCATAAGGAAGTGGGCTGGTGTCTGGACCAAAATAGACAAAGCTAAGGAAGATCGTGGTGTTCACTGAATACCCACTGGGAATGGGCACTGTTAGGCATGGTACAGAACTTTATCTTCTAAGGTGATAGTACTCTGTGTACAAAGAACTTCCTTTTTAAAAAAATTTTATTGTTGAACGTATTACATATGTCCCCTTTTCCCCCCATTGACCTTCCTTAGCTCACCCCCCACCCCATACAAAGAACTTTCTTAAATACAATAATTTAGCCATAAGCAGGGTACTTATATTTAGTGTTCCTTGCCACTACAATATCTAGGTGCTATTATATCTGTTATTATAGATGAGTTAACTGACTGAGTGAGGTTAAGTAATGGGTCTAAGGTTATATTCATAATTCCTAAGTAGCAGAACCAGAATTTGAACCCAGGCCTGCCTAATGTCAAAACCTGCACTTTAAAATACTTTGCTATATATTAGAGTCCCATGTTAGAAGGAGGCTAGGTTCTAAAGTTTCTGCATAAATAAATGTTGGGTGTAGTGAAAAAATATTCCTGAAAATACCTTATTGGTACCACATTGGAGAGCCAAAATGCCATTCCCCCCAAGATCCCATAGAACTCAATTTTACCCTGGAGTTAGAACAGACAGCTGTTTCTTCAGATAAGCCCCAGATGTAGCAGTTGGCTGTGTTTAGAGGTCCTGTGGTACAAAAATACGTGTCTTTAAACAGTAGAATTACATCTACGGTGAAGTGATGGTTACATTAGGAAAGGTATAGGAGGGACTAGGGTTCATCTAAAAAATGCCCAGGGTGTGGCTGTGCATGTTTATGCAGAGTATATTCTAGCACCATGGAGACCAAATTCTTAACAGTTAGAATGACGGTCAAACAGGCAGTAAGTCATGAACTTTGTAGGTAAGATGGGGCTCGCCAGGCCTTCTACTTGGCCCCCTGGATGGGATGGCCATGAGGTCTAGCTTGAATTGATGTTCTGTGACTTCTCTTCAAAACTCTAGGTCCATTTTTCTGCTGATAAAAATGCATCCTGGGCATTTCACTCAACTAATGTTTACTAAACACCTATTATGTGCTAAGTACAGTGTTGAGAGTACAAAAATGAGGTATAACACTCCCATTCTCTGCCTTCATGAAGTTTATAGGCAATTGGAGGAGATGGCAATTAATCAAACCATCATAGTGTGATGTGAATGGAAATTAAACTGTGCTTTGAGGGTTAAAAGTGGCAGGGGGGCGGTTATGACCTAACCTTGGCAGGCAGGGGGTGATCAAGGAAGGCTTCCAGCAGTGAGTAACATTTGAGTTGAAATGAGAATGATTTATGGGTGGTAAGCAGGTGGAGGGGTAGGATTGGAGGAAGAAGGAAATAAGATAGAGGGAACTGCACACATATTTTCTATGCTTAACATTTTATACACATCATCTCTTTCACTGTTCACAGCTATTTTATGAAGTAATTCCTGTTATTATTCCATTTTTCAGCTGCTAAAACCTGAGGCTTAAAAGACCTTATTTAATTTACTCAAGGTTGCAGCCAGGAAGTGGTAGGGCTGGAGGTCAAACACTGGACATGCTTCCTTAGTCTCTGGCTCAGGAACCGGATGGTTGGTGATGTCATCTGTAAGCTAAGAGGCCTTGGATGAAAAACTGGTGTTGGGAG